TGAGGCCCAGTCTGATGGGGGAGGAAGGGTCTTCCGTGAGGCCCAGTCTGATGGGGGCAGGAAGCAAAACCTGAGGATCCTAGTCTGAGGAGAGAGACGCAGACCCAGGAATCCTGTCTAAGATGAGTGGACACTGGGGATCTTGATCTGATAGCGGAGGCAGGGCTGGGGAGCCCAGTCTGGGAGAGAAGCAGGGCCTAGGGCTCCTGGTTAAAGAGAAGATGCAGACTCGGGAATTTAATCTGCGCAAGGAAGCAGGGTGTGGAATCCTAGTTTGAAGGAAGAGACGGGGCCTAGTGAGTTCTAGGCTACTGGGAGAGGCACAAGCCCAGAGAGCCGATCTGAGAAGAGATACCTGGGTCTTAACTTCAGGGTCATGACTCCTGGCCTACCGTCACTCGGAAGGTCTGACGCAGAGGTTCCCTTCTGTTCTGCAGACAAGCGGACTGACAAATCCGCCGTATCAGGTGCCATCCGGCTACACATCAGTGTGGAGATCAAAGGCGAAGAAAAGGTGGCCCCCTACCATGTCCAGTACACTTGTCTACACGAGGTGAGGCCCAACGCCCCTCCCTGCCTTCACGGCTCACTGCGATCTCCTCCCATCCCTGACCACCCCAGCTCCACCTTCCTGTTGCCAGCCACGCCATCCATACTCTCTGGGCCTCAAAGACTATCCCCCATGCCATTCCTACTGCCTGGAAAACTCCTCCCTCTCCATCCAACTTCAGGGCCCCCTCCTTTGGGAAGCCCTCCTTGACCTCCAGGCAGACTCTCACTACCCAGCTCCAGGTGTTTCGCCCATCCCAGACCCGAACAGGGGGCTCCTGGAGATGACTCAGTTTTTGAGTGAATAAATGATTGGTTGAATGGCCACATGCATAATGGGTGGATTAAAGGATGGGCGGACGGACAGATGTGGGGTTGAACTATTGAAAGTAGAGATGAGTGGATTTGGGGCAGTTGCATAGGCAGATTGGTGGAAAGACGGATGGGTGGATAAATTGATGGGTAGTAAATAGATGATGGATGGTTGAATGGGCGGATGGATGCATTGCTGGATAGACAAAGTTGTGGGTAGATGTATGGGATGGACGGATGTGTGGTCGAATTATTAAAAGGGAGGATTCGCACGTGGGGGAAGTTTTGGGTAGTTGAATGGGTTGGGTGGGTGGATGAGAGTATGAATGGTCAGGCAGACAGATGTTTAGATAGATGCTTGGATGGAAGGACAAACGGATAAATGTACGAAAGGATAGAGGAGTACATAGGTAGGTTTTGGAGTATTTGGATTGATGGATGAGTGAGTAGACAAGTGGATGGATGGGTAGATGAGTGGACGGACAGACAGACGGATGGTTGTGTGGTTGAATTGTTACAAGGACAGATGAGTGGATTGGTGAAATGTTTTGGTAATTGCGAGAGTTGATGGGTGATGGGTGGATGACAGCGTAGATGAATAAATCAATAAATCAATGAATCAATCAATCAATCAATCAATAAATAAATGAATAAATCAGCGTAGATGAATAAACAAACAGATGGATGATGTAAGCTGCCTCCAGCCTGGGGTCTCCGACCCCTTGTGCCTCATTGCACTCTTCACGATGCCTTCTCCCTCTCGGTGGCAGAACCTGTTCCACTTCGTGACAGACGTGCAGAACAACGGGGTTGTGAAGATCCCAGATGCCAAGGGTGATGACGCCTGGAAGGTTTACTATGATGAGACAGCCCAGGAGATTGTGGATGAATTTGCCATGCGCTACGGCGTCGAGTCCATCTACCAAGCCATGACGTGAGGCTGCAGGCTGGGGCGGACTTGAGGGCAAGGTGCAGGAAACCGGGGTGAGGGGGTTCCCTAGCAGACACTGACAGACCTGGGGTGGAAGGGTTTTTGAGAGAAGGAGCCAGAGAGGACGTGGGTGTGGTGGGCATCCTGTAATCCCCTGGAGGTTAGGAAAGTGCAGTTTCCGGCAGCTAAAGTGACAGGGTGAGGGTCAGAGTTAGAGGCAGAGATAGGGCAACCCAGAGAGGAGACCGAGAGAAACTTGGGAGACACAATCAGGCAGAGGGAATGGTTTGAGGGGTCAGAGGGAGTCCCTCACAGATGCTGTCTTGGAGGCATTCTGGGGGGAACACTGCCTGTCCTGGCTGGATGCCAAGCCCCATTCCTCCCACTCCCTCCCACCAGCCACTTTGCCTGCCTCTCCTCCAAGTACATGTGTCCCGGGGTGCCCGCCGTCATGAGCACCCTTCTCGCCAACATCAATGCCTACTATGCGCACACCACCGCCTCCACCAACGTGTCCGCCTCTGACCGCTTCGCTGCCTCCAACTTTGGGGTCAGTCCCGGGGACCGGGGCTGGGGGATGAGGGCGAGCCCAACCCTGTGCGGGTCGGACCCTGTGTGACTCCGTGGTCTCCAATCTGGACCTGACTTGCTCTGTGACTCTGCACCAGTCACTTGTCCTCTCTGAGCCTCAGTTTACCTCTCGTAGAATGGAAATGGATATTGTGAAGGCCCATTTCGATGATGGATGGGGTGCACTTAGTGTATAGTAAGCACTCACCCTATATGGCAGCCACCTCGACCCCCATGTCCCTGCTTCGACCCCCCATGTCCTTGCTTCTGTCCATCCTCCTCCTCTGCCTCCTCAGAAAGAGCGCTTTGTCAAGCTTCTGGACCAGCTGCACAACTCCCTTCGGATCGACCTCTCCATGTATCGGGTGAGAAGTGCACCCATAATGACTTGCTTGCTCCTACACGCGTGTGCCTGGAAGGGAGAGCTCCCGGCAGGTGTGCACATGGGAGGACCCATCTTAACACGTGGAATGTGTTCCTTTGACATGTGTGCACATAGATGGGCAGCACCTGCCCAACGTGCTTGGTGCATCCAACCAGCTCCCACCCTAGTTGCTTCAAGGTGTTCTCATGGACCCCCCACCCACTTCCTGGAACTTGGGAGCTCTTGTATTTCCCCTAAGACACTCTACCCCGACCTAGCCTTCTTCATAACCCAACCTCTCTTCTCCCTTCCAACAGAATAACTTCCCAGCCAGCAGCCCAGAGAGACTCCAGGACCTCAAATCCACTGTGGACCTTCTCACCAGCATCACCTTCTTTCGGATGAAGGTAAGAAGGGGACCCAGTGCCATTAGCTCTCCAAGGGGCATTCTCCAGGACTCTTAGCTCCTAACCGAGTAACGTTTCTCTTGGAGAAATGTGCCCTTTCTCAGTGACCCTCTGCTTTCATCCTGCTACATTTCCTTAAGCTCATAACTACTTGTAGCCATTTCCTGCATACCTCCTGTCCCAGCTGTGCCCACTCGTGCCCGTCTCCCTCCCTCTAGGTGCAAGAACTCCAGAGCCCACCCCGAGCCAGCCAAGTGGTGAAAGATTGCGTGAAAGCCTGCCTCAACTCTACTTATGAGTACATCTTCAACAACTGTCATGAACTCTATAGCCGGGAATACCAGACAGATCCGGTGAGGACCCCAGATAAAGCAGAAAGGAATAGGGGATACCAACCAGGCCCTGACCAAGTTCCAGAGCTTCCCCTTCGCAAGCGGTTTAACTGAGCCTCAGTATCTCCCTCTGTAAAATGAGGTCATAAACCCATATCTCAGGATTGAAGAGAAGATTCAATGAACTGCAACCTTTAGATAAAGTGTAGGTAAGTGCTTGGCACCTGATACACAATAGATGCTCAATAAATTCAGTTTTAGCTGAATTTAGTTGAGTTAGGCATACAGTGTGCCTAGGATAGAATCACTGTTCTAAATGTTGAGTTGAATTGAATTTTTTGAGTAAAATTCAGTTTGGGCCATTTCAAGTCAGTTTATTTGAGATCTTTTAATATGTGTTTATCTACACATATAATGTCTCAGGATTGTCAATAAGGTTTCAAGGAGCTCATGGCTTATTAGAAGGGAAAGATGTGGGGCGCCTGGGTGGCGCAGTCGGTTGAGCGTCCGACTTCAGCCAGGTCACGATCTCGCAGTCCGTGAGTTAGAGCCCCATGTCAGGCTCTGGGCTGATGGCTCAGAGCCTGGAGCCTGTTTCCGATTCTGTGTCTCCCTCTCTCTGCCCCTCCCCCGTTCATGCTCTGTCTCTCTCTGTCCCAAAAATAAATAAACATTGAAAAGAAGGGAAAGATGTATACATCGGAAATTCACAACCTAGGATGATTAGCCCTGGGGTGGAGGAATTGCAAGAGTCTGTGGGAGCTAAGGTGACCCCTGCCTCACCTTGGGCTTCTGATAGGAGATAAGATAAGCTGAATTTAGTGAGATTTTATTTCATTCCATTCATTTACAGTCCCTTGAGTTGAAATCAAGTCACTTTGAATTGAATTGGGTTGAGGTGCAGTGGATCAAATTGGGTTGAGTTTGGTTTAACTATAAACTGTTCAGTTTCATTTATTTCTTTTCAGGTGACTTAAAATTGCTCTTGGCTAATTAGTGAGCAGAACTGAGTGGGATTAAGCTGAGTTTCCTTGAGCAAAAATCCATTTTTTTCTATTCAGTTGAACTGAAGTGATTCTCGACTGGGTTGAGTTGACTTGAGTTAGGATACGCTGGATTGTTGCCTTGGGTATAGTTGAGTTCAAATGAGTTGGGTTGAGTTGGGTTTGTTGCAGTTGAATTTAGCTGCATCCATTTTCATTGACTGACTACAGTTGGATTGAGCTGGCCTGAGGCTATTAGGTTGAGTTGAGTAGGTAGAGTTGGATTGGGATGACTTGGTTGAGTTGAATTAGATTAATTTAGGTTGGGTTGAGTTCAAGTCTATTTATTTCCATTATTTTGACTTAGGATGATGTTGCTCTTGGATGAGTTGATTAGGTTCAATCCAATTGAATTCATTTGAGTTTAATTCAATCCAGTTAAGTTTAATTCCACTCCACTCAGTGTAATTGGCCCAAGTTCAGTTTCACTGAATTAACTCTGAGAACCTCCGTCTGTTAAGCTAAGTGGGCCTGATTGGCATTCATTTCAGTTCCATTTGGTTTCATGGGCTTCAGGTTTTTTCAACTAAATTCAGTTCTATTCAGTTTTATGAGTTGAGTCTAATTAAGCTTTGTTGAGCTGCAGGGACATGAGCTCTGTTTAGACCAGTTTACAAGAGTTCAGTTCATTTTCATGCAGTTTTCTCACTTGAACCACACACTATTAACAGGGCCCCTTCCTCACTAACCTCCTACCCCTCAATAATGAACTAACTGAGGCACCCACCCCCTGGACCCCTCTGGCCAATCTCTCCATTGCCCCTTCCAGGCTAAGAAAGGAGAAGTTCCCCCAGAGGAACAGGGACCCAGCATCAAGAACCTTGACTTCTGGTCCAAGCTGATCACTCTCATAGTGTCCATCATTGAGGAAGACAAGAATTCATACACTCCCTGCCTCAACCAGTGAGTTGTGCATCCGTGCAGTTAATTATCTGGAGGTGTATGTTTATAGTGTGTGTGTATGTGTGTGTGTGTACACAACTTTGTGTCTTATGTGTAAAGGCGATCATGTCTAATTACACATAAAATGATGCGTATGTGGAGGCAACTGTAGGTGTGGTTGTGCCTGAATGAAATATGGCATAATTTATAAACGGAAACCTAAAACTGTGTGTATGTATACAATCACTGGTATAATCGGATATGTATTTTGTACATGTTGATTTGTGTGAATAAAAATGTGTACATATGTATATAATAGTGTAGGCTCGTAAATAACAATAAGCAGTGTTGTTCAAGTATTTAATGTGTGTTAAAGACTCCACCAAATGTTTTACATTTAAATTGCATTATATCTTGTGTGTGGATGTAATTCTGTGTATAGTTGTGGCCTATGGGTTTAAATGTATATTGTATATATGCGTACAATTGTGGAATGCACTTCAATATACAATATTGCATATTGTGTAATTGTGTGTGAATATGTACACAGTTTTATATGGATTTATGTATCTGTAGAGTTTTCATCTATGTTAGCTGAATGAACTGTTGTGTCTTATTTATCCCTGAGTGCTAGAGGGGCTCTTAACTCTGGTGTGCCAGTATCTCTTGGTTAGTTAGATATTCAGTTAAGATCAGGGATTTGGGATTGATGGACTGAAAGGTGGATGGATGGATGGGAAGATGGATGGAGATATGTATGACTGAATGG